CTCTCATATTAGTACTGGCCTATGGAAGATTGATACTTCTCCAGGGTTTTGATTCACTTTTTGTTAAGAGGCTATGCTTTAATCCTGGGCCAGTGCCGACATGCTCCAAACCCTGAAGATACTAGAAGAGCAGACGGTGTCAGATGGCAGTGTCATTAACTGGTGTCACTTGAACTGCCATTTAACAGCACCGTGTTGGCTTCAGCCTGGGGTGGAATGAAGCTTTGCTCTTTGAGACCCTCCAGATTGACTTCGTGTTGAACTAACACCTCAGACTCAGTTCCATGTCAAATGTTAAGGACAAGTGAGGAGTCTTCCAGCAGATACAGTGGGGCCCTCTGAGTGATGTTTGGGTGCATGTCTCTTAAACAAGTTATTCATGATCTGCTCTAAGACATCAGACAGAGGTCATATTTACCAGGGAAAATCTTCTTATGAATGCACTTACTAGCTTGATGCTCTTCTTTCCACATAGCGAAAGAAAGGTGGAAACAATCAAAATTCTTCAAAAAGTAAATAACATTATGACAGGTTATAATATTGTAATACTTAACTGGTATATTACGGCTTTCTGAATCATTGAGCCTTGAGGTATTTATGTGCACTAACACAAAAGTACCGCACTGAAAGAAAAATGCTGAAGAACATTACCATATTACTGAATGCACCAGGGACAACATTCTTTCCTGGAAAAGGACAGCGTATGTGAAAAGGTAACATCAAGAAAATGTATCTGTGATGATGCTGGAGCAGTAATAGCTATGGCAGCTATACTTTTTCACTATCAGCTGAGTAACATTCTGCATTTATATTGCGAACAAAGCCGCAGGACAGGCTTACAAGATTGGATGTATCTTCATTTCACTAATGGAAAAATTGAACACAGGACTTTTTTTTATTTTTTCTTTTTTGAAAGCTATGACAAGCTTGTGAAAAAGGGGGGGAACAGAAGTAAAATCTGCTTTCCTGTCTGGTCATTTTACATATAAAATTTCAACATTTGTCCTTGGAGGCATTAAAAGGCATTCCACCTTAGCAGTTCTTCAGTGATTAAGGGAGAGGGGGACAAAGAGTAAAGCTCTTTCTAATGCACAGCCCTAAGAAGGAGACAAAGATCACAGAATGACTTTCCTCTGTTTTCATAATCAAAAACCTATTTCTAATTTCTACACGTAGCGCTAAGTAGTAATATTTCAGAACCATCATTCATTCCCATGGTAACATCCCCTGATATTACAAGCAGTTAATTATGTCATTGCTGCATGGTACAGTGTGGTTTATTTACGGAAGAAGATAAACATTTAATGAAAGCATCCTTGAATATATGAACAAAATAAAAACTGCTGTTCTATCCCTCTGGTCTCTCCTCATGCTCTATGCAAAGAAAATGCAGTATTAGCAGGTATCTGCTGTAACCTATAGAAATACAATGCTCTTGGTAAAGAAATGCAATATCATTATATCGCCAAGAGGAGAATTCTGCCTGAGATTTTAAATAAACAGAATTATTTTCTAAAAAGACATAATATAAAAATATACTTGGTATAATTGGATTTGATATAAATAGATTATAAATTACTAGGGATTTGAAATAGAGTAGATGACTTCATGTTTGTTTTGATCACTTCCGAGCTACAACGCATGACATCTCTGTCATGAAGTAACTGCTCCTGACTGTCAGCAGGATCCTCCTTGTACGGGAAAGAACCTGAGAAAACACAGTCAAAAAATTCTGAATTGTTTCACAAGAAACCGCAAAAAGAACATTCTATAATTGTTTGACATTCTGATTTATAGTGCCAATTAAATAATTCTGTGGTGAATGGTCACTGGTTATGCATTTTTATAAGCTCGAGTTAATATTGTTTTGTTAAAAAGTGGCCTGCAAATACAATGCAAGCCAATACAGGAAAAAGAATGTTGGCTGAGTAATAAAGTCTGGAAAAAACTATTTAAAATCTCAATCTAAAAAAAATATGCTTTTTTAAAAATAAGAACTTTAAACTTTATCAAATTTAAAAGGCAGGCCTTAGACTAAAAAATGGACTTATTGATAATTCTTAAAAATGTTGTCTAACTCTTTGTTAAGGGAATTAGTTCTGGAAGGTTCCTCAAATTTTACATATCCATATGTTTTTATCAATAATTTAGACAACTATTAAATGTATGATGGCTAAGTCTGCAGTTAGAGTGGCAGAAGAAAACAGAGTACAGTACAGAGTTAGGTGAATTATTCAGCTAAAAAGCCGAATGACAAGAAGTGAATTTTAATATAATCAAATGGAAAGAACACATATGGAAATAAATATTTCCTGCTTAGTCCTACAGGATAAAATACTCTGTTTAGAAAGCTGTGATTCACCAAATTTTGAAGGTCATAATGGATTATTATTATATATCAACCTGTCACTGTATCAAAGAGCACTAATGTGATGCTGCATTAAAATGTTTAAAAAGAGGAATGCCACATACATAAGAGTAGAGAGATGACCTTCCTTTTGCTAAGTAACCACTTTGCTGAGCCCACTGCTGGTACAGCATATCCTGATCTCATTAACTCACTTCAAAGATGTATGAAAACCCTGAAGAATTGAAAGGAAGACCACAAAAATGACCAGGTCTAAAAAGCAACCCATATAAAATGAACCTTCAAGTGTCCTACCTAGCAAAGACAGTGTTTAGAGATTACTTAATCACTGCATATGGGTAAGTTAAATGAGGATATTCAATCTTGATATCAAGAATGCTACAAGAGACAAAAGCTGGGTGATGAAGTCAGAAAAATTCAACCTCACAGGAAGAAGTAATATTCTTGAAATCCAATGTCCCGACAGATTACAAGAGGAGTGATATAACTCATTATCTGCTCTGCAGTCTCTGAAATGAAGCAATTTTCATGGGTACGAGATACCTAAGGGAGAATCAGACCAGGTGCAGTAGCAGCCCCTGCTAACTTTTCCCTTAACCCAGAACGGACCAGATATGCTCTGCGTTTTCTTTTGCTGCCATTCCCTGAAGGCCTGAGCAGCAGATGGACACTGGGGATAATCCTCAGCGGGTGTTCTATGGTGCAACAGAGAATCCATTTTCTTGGACAGCCTGCTGGCACGTGCTGTTCAGATCAGTGGGATGAATGTGATGGACACATTTCAGGTCAGAAGGAATTTTGCACAGGTCAGGCCAGCAATAATCCTGGTGTTTTTTTCCCTGCGTTCCCATGGATCATCTGCTGGCTGATCTGGGGATACCTAACCTGATCAGTTTGCTACAAGTGCAGAAGCTGTGAAGGTCGGTGGTATCTCAGTCTCTCTTGTGCTCTGTTTATCGCGCATAACTGTTAATCTCTATAGGATTTAAATGTATTAGCGTGACCCAAATTTACAAAGTTAATAGCCCATGATGTTGACAAGATGTGCACGAATATTGTGAAGAAGTATAGGGAGTGGGACTTAGAAGAAATTAGGCTGGAAGGCTCTGAGAGCGCTGCAGGGGTGCCATGATGCACCCAGTGCACCCCGCAGCCAAAGCTGCACAGGGGGTGGCTTTCCTTGCCCTGTGAGGGTAGCAAATGGCTCCACCATGCTCTCCGGAGACTGCTGGCTCCAAATGGCTTTGTTTCTAATATATTTGGGAATAAGGGTTTAACACCTGGATATTATCACAAATCTTTTGCTCTCATTTCATGGATCCAGTGCTGAAAAACAGATTACTTAAGTGCCTTTGTCTGGTTTTATTCTGATCTCTAGTCTAGAGCAGTTGCTGGGGAAATGCTTGTACTTGAACCGATATCCCTGCTAAACACTCTGAGCCTTCTTTCCTAAGGGAAAGAAACTTCAGCTTTTCTTCTTGACCCAGTAATCTTTCCCCATCACTTCAGTAGCTAAAAATTTATCCCTTGCACTTGCTTCTAGTCTCATCGTTGCTCACGTATCCTCACAGAAGCAATACAATACATCAGACTAAAGCTGTTGGGGTTAGAGGTTTACACTTGGCTTTTGAAGGCTGTGATTCCAGACTTTCAAATAACACAGTATTTATAGATTTTCCTAGGCTCATAACAGTGGCTACTAAAACACTAGAATAAAAGAAAATGAAAATACAAGTATAATACGGCTTTCACATCTGATCTTTTTGACCTGGCAAACTTAGGTATCATATACTTAGTTCTACCCACTGAAATATTCAACTTATTCAATTTATTTTGCTTAGATGTTGCAGGCTGTAAATAAACCTTAAAATTATTGCAGTTGTGACTGATTTCTTAACAACAATGCTTTTTCACATGACTAAATATACTAACTTTTGGAGTTCAGTTCAACACAGCTTAAAAATGCTGCTTTTATCAAAGCATAGCTAAGCTTATTTACACCTGAATTGATTACAAGGTTTTTGTTTACTTTCTCTGATTTGTCTTAGCGATATATAAGTTGAATTTTAGATTGGAGTCTTTGCTGATTCTGTTCCCAATGTATTGACTTTTATGTTACTGTATTTCTCCTGGTCTGAGCAAAATATTACAAACTAGCCAGCCTATAGTAACACATTTTTACATACTGAAGGTGATCAGCATAGATTGTGAAGATGCTACATTTAATGGAAGCATATGAATTTTATACAACTATCACTGCACACATCAAGTATCATTCTGGGACTGTTGAACTGCAAACGGGCTTAAAAAGGGTAAGCTCACATGTTGTGAGCTCCAGCATGCTTCTTACAACACAAGAAATCTTAGGAACAGACAAAGGGCACCTGTGCCAAAATGTCTCTACTTTTTTTTAGCATCAGTGGCTATCATACTGCCAAGTTTAAAAGTATGACAGTATAAAGATACAGTGGTTGGTAGCATCTGATAGAACAACTGGGTACACCAATTCAATCTTCTTCATGGCTTATAAAATACTATGCACTGTACTACATAAATATTATTTTAGTTCTAATACAAACATGAAAAGAGCCTTTGCAAAGATTTACAGGTTAATACAGGGTACTGCACTTACCAAGATGTGTGTTCATCATCTTTGCACAATATTTGCACATGGCTTCCAAGTCGTTTAGTTGTCCTTGTAGGAATGAAATCTGGGTCTCCAATTCCTCCTCCTACAATTAAGAAATTATTAGCATTAAAAGACCCCAACTTTCTATAATACATAGTAGAAGTGGTAGGCTAAGCCTTGACATCTTCTAACTTTTCCTATTCCTTTGTTCTTGAGAAAATTTTTGAAATAAAGAGAATCACCTTCCAACTGTAGTTATTAAAAGAATTTTAAATTACTTTGTCATTTCACAGAAACAGGATTTGCTTTTCATGTTTCAGTGTTTATTAATAGTACTCTTTTTCCTTTTAAAGAGTCAAATAAAAATTTGTCTACATTGATCCAAGAAAGGTTAACAATTCATATTTCTTTTACAGATTAGCTACGTGGTTTTGCTTGTGCAAACACAGTACCACAGCAATGGCTGTCTGGCAGAGTAATTTCCACAGCAATTCCTTTGAAACCTCAGAAAAATTCCTTTTTTTTAATTTCAAGTCATATATTTCATGAGACCTAATACCATACCTCAAGGATGCATTACTGCCATGTATTTTGGCATATTTATTTGTGTAACACATGATGCTTTGTATGTATAAAAAACCTGCACTTCTATCTCAGCCAACTGCACTTCCACACAACGTCTTACGTAATATTTAGGTGAAAACTATTTTCAACTCACATACTATAAAGCAGTTACTTTAAATTATCAAGTTATGTTTAATAAATATGCATCAAGTGTAATTTAAAAAAAGATTCCTGATTTTAAGGCCTAGGCCTTAAGCATTATTATCTAGCCACATGCTAATAAGCAATGGGAACTACCTCAGCTAAGAATTCCTTCAAAGCTTAGTCACAAACAGTATTAAGCAGTTTTTTGTTTGTTTAAATACACAATTGAATTCAAGATATTCAGATAAAGGCAAAGTAACTTTTCAGCCTCCTGTTTTTCTTAGGAGTTTTGCAATTCTATCATACTCTTGTTTGATGGAGATTGTTGAACATTAGAGTGTGAATTACATTTCAAATGAAAAAAATCCCAAACTGATCAGCAAGAATAAAGAGAATGAATCAGTCTTGATTTAAAGGTACAAGTGATCTTAATCTCCATCAGAAACAGTCAGAGCCAAGCAAAGGAAATTTTGAACTAATATAGCATATATCCAAAAGCAACTGATAACTAAAAAGAACAGTAGCATTTTGCAAGATCTAGCAATATAACTTTTTCC